AACACCACGCCATGGGTAGTGAACACCACGGCAAGTTCAGTGAACATCACGCTAAGGGTAGTGAACACCACGCCAAGGGTAGTGAATACCACGGCAAGGGTTGTGAACACCACGCTAAGGATAGTGAACACCACGCTAAGGATAGTGAACACCACGCCAAGGATAGTGAATACCACGCCTTGGATAGTAAACACAACTCCAAGGATAGTGAACACCACGCTAAGGATAGTGAACACCACGCCAAGGGTAGTAAACACCACGCCATGGGTAGTGAACACCATGCCATGGGTAGTGAACACCACGCGAAGGGCAGTGAACACCACGCCAAGAGTGGTGAACACCACGCCAAGGTTAGTGAACCCCACGCCAAGGGTAGTGAACATGACGTCATGGGTAGTGAACACCACGTTAAGGGTAGTGAACACCACGCCAAGAGTAGTGAACACCACGTTAAGGGTAGTGAACACCACACCAAGGGTAGTAAACATGGCGGCAAGGGTAGTGAACACCACGTCAAGGGTAGTGAAGAACATGCCAAGGGTAGTGATCACCACGCCAAGGGTAGTGAACACCACGCCATGGGTAGTGAACACCACGCCATGGGTAGTGAACACCACGGCAAGTTCAGTGAACATCACGCTAAGGGTAGTGAACACCACGCCAAGGGTAGTGAATACCACGGCAAGGGTTGTGAACACCACGCTAAGGATAGTGAACACCACGCTAAGGATAGTGAACACCACGCCAAGGATAGTGAATACCACGCCTTGGATAGTAAACACAACTCCAAGGATAGTGAACACCACGCTAAGGATAGTGAACACCACGCCAAGGGTAGTAAACACCACGCCATGGGTAGTGAACACCATGCCATGGGTAGTGAACACCACGCGAAGGGCAGTGAACACCACGCCAAGAGTGGTGAACACCACGCCAAGGTTAGTGAACCCCACGCCAAGGGTAGTGAACATGACGTCATGGGTAGTGAACACCACGTTAAGGGTAGTGAACACCACGCCAAGAGTAGTGAACACCACGTTAAGGGTAGTGAACACCACACCAAGGGTAGTAAACATGGCGGCAAGGGTAGTGAACACCACGTCAAGGGTAGTGAAGAACATGCCAAGGGTAGTGATCACCACGCCAAGGGTAGTGAACACCACGCCATGGGTAGTGAACACCACGCCATGGGTAGTGAACACCACGGCAAGTTCAGTGAACATCACGCTAAGGGTAGTGAACACCACGCCAAGGGTAGTGAATACCACGGCAAGGGTTGTGAACACCACGCTAAGGATAGTGAACACCACGCTAAGGATAGTGAACACCACGCCAAGGATAGTGAATACCACGCCTTGGATAGTAAACACAACTCCAAGGATAGTGAACACCACGCTAAGGATAGTGAACACCACGCCAAGGGTAGTAAACACCACGCCATGGGTAGTGAACACCATGCCATGGGTAGTGAACACCACGCGAAGGGCAGTGAACACCACGCCAAGAGTGGTGAACACCACGCCAAGGTTAGTGAACCCCACGCCAAGGGTAGTGAACATGACGTCATGGGTAGTGAACACCACGTTAAGGGTAGTGAACACCACGCCAAGAGTAGTGAACACCACGTTAAGGGTAGTGAACACCACACCAAGGGTAGTAAACATGGCGGCAAGGGTAGTGAACACCACGTCAAGGGTAGTGAAGAACATGCCAAGGGTAGTGATCACCACGCCAAGGGTAGTGAACACCACGCCATGGGTAGTGAACACCACGCCATGGGTAGTGAACACCACGGCAAGTTCAGTGAACATCACGCTAAGGGTAGTGAACACCACGCCAAGGGTAGTGAATACCACGGCAAGGGTTGTGAACACCACGCTAAGGATAGTGAACACCACGCTAAGGATAGTGAACACCACGCCAAGGATAGTGAATACCACGCCTTGGATAGTAAACACAACTCCAAGGATAGTGAACACCACGCTAAGGATAGTGAACACCACGCCAAGGGTAGTAAACACCACGCCATGGGTAGTGAACACCATGCCATGGGTAGTGAACACCACGCGAAGGGCAGTGAACACCACGCCAAGAGTGGTGAACACCACGCCAAGGTTAGTGAACCCCACGCCAAGGGTAGTGAACATGACGTCATGGGTAGTGAACACCACGTTAAGGGTAGTGAACACCACGCCAAGAGTAGTGAACACCACGTTAAGGGTAGTGAACACCACACCAAGGGTAGTAAACATGGCGGCAAGGGTAGTGAACACCACGTCAAGGGTAGTGAAGAACATGCCAAGGGTAGTGATCACCACGCCAAGGGTAGTGAACACCACGCCATGGGTAGTGAACACCACGCCATGGGTAGTGAACACCACGGCAAGTTCAGTGAACATCACGCTAAGGGTAGTGAACACCACGCCAAGGGTAGTGAATACCACGGCAAGGGTTGTGAACACCACGCTAAGGATAGTGAACACCACGCTAAGGATAGTGAACACCACGCCAAGGATAGTGAATACCACGCCTTGGATAGTAAACACAACTCCAAGGATAGTGAACACCACGCTAAGGATAGTGAACACCACGCCAAGGGTAGTAAACACCACGCCATGGGTAGTGAACACCATGCCATGGGTAGTGAACACCACGCGAAGGGCAGTGAACACCACGCCAAGAGTGGTGAACACCACGCCAAGGTTAGTGAACCCCACGCCAAGGGTAGTGAACATGACGTCATGGGTAGTGAACACCACGTTAAGGGTAGTGAACACCACGCCAAGAGTAGTGAACACCACGTTAAGGGTAGTGAACACCACACCAAGGGTAGTAAACATGGCGGCAAGGGTAGTGAACACCACGTCAAGGGTAGTGAAGAACATGCCAAGGGTAGTGATCACCACGCCAAGGGTAGTGAACACCACGCCATGGGTAGTGAACACCACGCCATGGGTAGTGAACACCACGGCAAGTTCAGTGAACATCACGCTAAGGGTAGTGAACACCACGCCAAGGGTAGTGAATACCACGGCAAGGGTTGTGAACACCACGCTAAGGATAGTGAACACCACGCTAAGGATAGTGAACACCACGCCAAGGATAGTGAATACCACGCCTTGGATAGTAAACACAACTCCAAGGATAGTGAACACCACGCTAAGGATAGTGAACACCACGCCAAGGGTAGTAAACACCACGCCATGGGTAGTGAACACCATGCCATGGGTAGTGAACACCACGCGAAGGGCAGTGAACACCACGCCAAGAGTGGTGAACACCACGCCAAGGTTAGTGAACCCCACGCCAAGGGTAGTGAACATGACGTCATGGGTAGTGAACACCACGTTAAGGGTAGTGAACACCACGCCAAGAGTAGTGAACACCACGTTAAGGGTAGTGAACACCACACCAAGGGTAGTAAACATGGCGGCAAGGGTAGTGAACACCACGTCAAGGGTAGTGAAGAACATGCCAAGGGTAGTGATCACCACGCCAAGGGTAGTGAACACCACGCCATGGGTAGTGAACACCACGCCATGGGTAGTGAACACCACGGCAAGTTCAGTGAACATCACGCTAAGGGTAGTGAACACCACGCCAAGGGTAGTGAATACCACGGCAAGGGTTGTGAACACCACGCTAAGGATAGTGAACACCACGCTAAGGATAGTGAACACCACGCCAAGGATAGTGAATACCACGCCTTGGATAGTAAACACAACTCCAAGGATAGTGAACACCACGCTAAGGATAGTGAACACCACGCCAAGGGTAGTAAACACCACGCCATGGGTAGTGAACACCATGCCATGGGTAGTGAACACCACGCGAAGGGCAGTGAACACCACGCCAAGAGTGGTGAACACCACGCCAAGGTTAGTGAACCCCACGCCAAGGGTAGTGAACATGACGTCATGGGTAGTGAACACCACGTTAAGGGTAGTGAACACCACGCCAAGAGTAGTGAACACCACGTTAAGGGTAGTGAACACCACACCAAGGGTAGTAAACATGGCGGCAAGGGTAGTGAACACCACGTCAAGGGTAGTGAAGAACATGCCAAGGGTAGTGATCACCACGCCAAGGGTAGTGAACACCACGCCATGGGTAGTGAACACCACGCCAAGGGTAGTGAATATCACGGCAAGTAGTGAACACCACGCTAAGGATAGTGAACAGTGAACACCACGCCAAGGATAGTGAACACCACGCTAAGGATAGTGAACACCACGCCAAGAGGGTAAGGGTAGTGAACACCACGCCAAGGGTGAACACCCAAGGGTAGTGAACATGTGAACACCACGCCAAGGGTAGTGAACACCACGCCAAGGGTACCACGGCAAGGGGTAGTTGTAGTGAACACACACGCTAAGGATAGTGAACACCACGCTAAGGATAGTGAACACCACGCCAAGGATAGTGAATACCACGCCTTGGATAGTAAACACAACTCCAAGGATAGTGAACACCACGCTAAGGATAGTGAACACCACGCCAAGGGTAGTAAACACCACGCCATGGGTAGTGAACACCATGCCATGGGTAGTGAACACCACGCGAAGGGCAGTGAACACCACGCCAAGAGTGGTGAACACCACGCCAAGGTTAGTGAACCCCACGCCAAGGGTAGTGAACATGACGTCATGGGTAGTGAACACCACGTTAAGGGTAGTGAACACCACGCCAAGAGTAGTGAACACCACGTTAAGGGTAGTGAACACCACACCAAGGGTAGTAAACATGGCGGCAAGGGTAGTGAACACCACGTCAAGGGTAGTGAAGAACATGCCAAGGGTAGTGATCACCACGCCAAGGGTAGTGAACACCACGCCATGGGTAGTGAACATCACGCCATGGGTAGTGAACACCACG